TCAAAAACTGTAGCTGAAAAATTTAGGTTTTTTACTGGTAACATAGACTAATTAATTTCAGAAAAGTTGAAGTCAATTAATGTCTTTAAAAAACTGATATGAGACAGCCTGTTTCTGTTTAAGTATTCTACAAAATCTGTCGTAAAAGTGGTTAGTTTAAGAAAATTAGAAAATAAAAAATTGAGAATTCAGTTATGAATTAACTACTTGAAGCAATTCTAATTCTGTTAGGAAAAATAATTAGATTTTCCACGCACTATTACTCTGAGGGCTTGTAGCAGCTGTTGCCAGAGTCGGAAAAATTCAGGTTTTGATGAACTGTACACTTGTAGCTTCAATAATGCTTTGCAAAATCAGTTACGCTAGAAGAATAATGTAGATTAGGCCAACTTTTTTAGTTACTTTTTGCTTAATCAACTGCAGACTTACTTCGACAGAGTTCAAGCACTGTAGGACGGGCACACACTGCTGATCATTTTCGAAAGCACTGTTATGAGGCCTAAGAGTATTAGTCCGCTAGGCTGATGATTTGCTCTGTTACGCCACCACCAATTCTGCATCAAGTTTTATAGCGTAACACTGGGAAGAAATTACGAAGATAGGAGTCAGAATTTTTGTCATTTTAAATGTGCAACTGACAACGACTACTTCATTTTCCTTTATGAATCTGTATAAATTTCATGTCTTATACTTTTTCAGGTGCTATGCTAACCAGGTCTCTAACACCAAGAATTTTTGATTTAGAGAGGTCTTTCACAAGTGAAAAAAAAAACCTTTTTGGATTACAAAGAGTAAGAAAATGACTGCTATTTTTAGAAAATTATTTTTTAGCAAAACAAAACAAGAATCTCAAAAAATCTCAAAAATCTCTTCAAATTTTGTTTTCATCAAACCCTATTTATATATTTTTAAAAGTATCTAAATAGTTTGTAATTTTAAACTAACGAAAACAAGTGAACAAATATCGTTACTTAAATTACTTGTATTACAGAGAAAACACACTAATTGAAAGATATTTCCCAGAGCGAATAACAGTTGTTACAGTCAAAAAATCAATCAAATGAATAATTTACTGATCTAGATAGTCGACAAAACCACACAGGAAGGTGAATCATGCAAGGTTTTTTCCTCATACAGTTTCAGCTTCAGTTTCAAAAAAAGACAACTGACGCCTAGGTTAAATCTTCCAAATTTCTTTTTGGGAGTATAACAAAAAACTGTAATAGTTACCGCATTTTAAGATTTCAGAATTGAATTATGCATGAGATTTTAAATCTTCGGTTCTAAAATTTATCAATATTTCACATTCAGTTTTGGTTTAGAAAGCTGAACGTTACCGATAAATGTTGCCGAACAGTAATAGTGAATAAACCGATAAGTGATAACTTACATTTTACCAAGAACAGTTTTTAGCTTGCACAATAGTCCATCACCATTTTGAATTTATTTCACTTAAAATTATACTTGAGAAACAAGCAGTATAAAAATTGACAAAAATAGCCCTATCAAATAATAAAGAGCTTATTTTTCGACTTGCCAAGTAAACTAGCAGATAAAAAATTTGAGTAATTCATATCAGAACGAGTGTTCTAAAATATCTGTAATCTTTGATTAGCAAGAACAACGAAAATATCCTTTAGTTATTTTTTAAGATAATTTTATATATTATTTGCTTTATTATCTTTACTGCATAGCAAAGCTTAAACTTTTTTTCCCTGAATTTGCTCATTTTTATTTCAACTGAGCAGAACAGCAGTTTCGTTAACGAAATAAAAAAAAAAAAAGAAAAAAAATATTACATTAAAAAAATGATTTAATTTTAAGCACAAAAAAACATTCATCTTTTCCATCAACACTGAACAATTCAGACTTAAGCAGCAAAATTTGAAACAGATTGAATAACGACAAAAGCGAAATGAGAAAATAGGAAAAAACATACATATTTTTAAGCCATACCTTTATGATTATAATAAGTACACCAAATTAAATTAAACTGTATAATAATAAAGATAAATTTAAAAAAGAAAAAACAAGTTTTTCCTTTATTTATTTCTTTTTTTTTTTTTTTCTTCTTTGCTCTCCTGGTTAACACGGCTTTGTCAGTCGAATAATAAAAGAAAAATTTAACTGCAAATTTTGATTGACGAATGCCGCAAACCGGCTTTTCCGGCAATAGCAGCAAAAAATTCCTTTTCATCCCAAAAGCTTTAAACAATAACTCTTCTGCTGTTAGCTAAACTAACTATCAGGCCAAAAAAGAAATTTATTCCACTGGTAAAAAACAAAAAATTAGTGGTTTTATTTTAACAGATTCAAATTAACAAATACAACAATTTCACAAACAAAATATTCACTCAACACAAACGGAAATAAACAGTATATAGCACATTCAGAAAGCTACAAACATATACATTAACACACTCAAGCACAGAAACACACAGATACGAACACACAAACCCACACAAACACGCACAAACACACACATATTATGTTAATAGCAACAGATATGTCTTCAAAAACCTACTAGACAGAAAGTGACGGTAGTATCTAAAAAAAAATAAAAAATTTCTCCCTGTCAACATTTGAAAAAATTAATTTAGTGGCGATTTAGAAACAAAAGAGTTGACAAAAAAAGATGGAAAAAAGAATGAACTAAAAAATTAGATTTATTGCATTTCCTCCTTTTTTCTCCAAACTCACTGCTCCTGAAACGTCATGAACACTATACCACAGTGGTGCTTTCGCTGTGAATATTATAAACATGTATCACAGCTGAAACAAGCACCACCGTTCTTTTTTAATGATTTTCTGCCCGTGTCGTTCTCGTCGTCATTGTCATTATTGTCGAAGTCACCATCACTGTCATCAAACCACATATCTGTTTCTTCAAAACTACGGTATATAAAGAAAACGTAAAATGAGACAAAAACAAAAAAAAAAAGTAGCAGTAACATAGCTGAGAACCAGTTGTGCTCCTGAGGATCAGAAAAAAGTACGCTTGGAACAAATATATACCTTATAACATATCTAAAATCTAAAAATTTAGTAGAAAACAATCAAAAATAAATTGTTCAGAAAAACTGACACAATTTGAAGTTCACACCAGAATAAAAAAGAAAGAGGTGATAATCATTTTAAATTGTTGATTTGGCAGAAGTAAAAATAGAAAGAATTAGAAAACAATAGACAAAAAAACATTCTAATATAACACACTAATACAAATGACTCATTTGATGATCCTCAAACATACAGTACGACAATCAACCGGCAACTATCCTTTACACCTATCAAACTACAAATACACATATGTTGATAAATATGTATACCATTGTTCAACAGTTGCTGCAGAATTTAATAGTGATAAATTTTCTTCTCTTTTTGGGTACAGGATGCTAATATGTTTGACAACTAATACAATAAATAAAGATTAGTCTTGGTTATAAGATAGATTCCAAAACAACGAGTTGTTACAAGATTTGGACTCTCAGTAGTAGCTTAGTATCCTAACCAATATTATCAATATAACGGTAGATAACGTTGCTTTTGTCGGCGAAGAATTATGCTTTAAACCTTGCAACAGCAAATCGATACCACCGTCACCGGTTTTAGAAACAATAACATTTCTGAGTTTTCGTTGTCTAAAACAACAGCAACCATAATTAAAATTTCAGTTTTCCAATAATTATTTGCTATTGAGAGCAGCTATCGGTCAAATTTAGCAGATATTTTTCTGCCTCTCTAAAGATGATAAAATAATATCTCAAAAGTTTATTATAGAATTTCGGTTTATTATTTAGTCTATTGTACTTAACTGTGCAGCTGCAATTAGGGCTTTAAGTAATATGGCAAAAAAATTGTTTACTTATTAATTGGTGTATCTAAAAAGATGTATGTTGGGCCAAACCGTTCATCAGTGCCGCAAGTTCGACTCCATACGGATAGCTCAATTCGCCAACCTCTGAAATAGTTTGTCAAACAGCATTAGTTTTTGCATTTTTTCCAAGCACTATTTATTTTGAGAGAAAAGAGAAGAAAACAAATAAATAGCGAAAACTATTACTGATTTATTTTAGTCAGTTTAAAGCACAAAAAAAGAAGGTTATTCTACTCTTCTGAATACTTGTAACCAATCCTTTATCGCAAAATTCTTGTTCTGATTCATAGCAGCTACAATTTTATATTACAAAATGAACCTGTTTATCTCCAACGAAATCTATTTGTGGTAGTAATTAATTTGATGTCAAAAGGTTTTTTTTTTGGTGTTATTTGATAAATGTTTGTTTCTTTTCTCTTTTTTTTTCTTTTGTCTTAAAATAAATTTTAAGACAAAAGAAGAGGTCTCTTCTTGTTTAGAGTTTTTTTAATGCTAAGTCTAAATAAACAACCGGATAGAAAAAAGATGATCAGTGCAGAACAGATATGTGAAATGCAGAAAGTTCAAATGAAAATGTCTCATAATTTATTTTGAGTTTGTATCCACG